CATATGTTTTCACCGCTTTTGTTAACTGCAATTCAGAAAGAACATTGTGTGACATTCTGGGTTCAGGTAGATGTAAAGCTTGAGTTTTCACATAATCTGTGACCTTGAATATGGCCTTATGTTATTAAAGGAATAACTGGTTCATCGCAGCATTCCATGGTTGCATATTTTTTTTCTAGAATGACTCTGATTTCTAACATACACTAGCATTCTAAAGTTTGTGGTCCATAAGATTTTGAAATGTTTATGGAAGAAGCCATCAAGTGCATTTATTTGTGCAAAAATACAGTAAAATTGTGAAACATTTTTACAATTTAAAATAACTGTTTTCTGTTCCAATGTATTTTAAAATAAAGCAATAAGCCCCAAGAAGCCGTGGTTTACAGTGAATTCATAACAGCTAAGGGGTGTTGTTAGGCACGTCGCGAAGCGACCCCTTAGCTGTTATAAATTCACTGTAAACCACTGTTTCACGGGGCTTATTGCTTTTATAAAACTGTTATTTTAATACGTAGTAAGGTTTCACAAAATAAAACCCAGCAAATAAAGTGTAATGATATTAATAAAAACATTATTCTTTTCACCAAACAATGTAGTTCCTCAGAATCAGTTGTGGTTTCAACAAAGTGGTTGCCGAGCAACACACAAATGTAAACAAAGGTGTATGTTTGTAGAGTAATTTACAACAGCTTCGAACGTTGCTTAGCCAATCAGAATCAAGGACTGGAACGATCTGTTTTATAATATGTGACCCTGGACCACAAAACCAGTCTTAAGTCGCTGGGGTATATTTTTAGCAATAGCCAAAAAAACATTGTGTGGGTCAAAATTATCGATTTTTCTTTTATGCCAAAAATCATTAGGATATTAAGTAAAGATCATGTTCCATGAAGATATTTTGTAAATTTCCTACGGTAAATATATCAAAACTTAATTTTTGATTAGCAATATGCATTGCTAAAAACTTCATTTGGACAACTTTAAAGGCGATTTTCTCAATATTTTGATTTTTTTGCACCCTCAGATTCCAGATTTTCAAATAGTTGTATCTCAGCCAAATATTGTCCGATCCTAACAAACCATACATCAATGGAAAGCCTATTTATTCAGCTTTGAATGACAAGATACTACTAATGAAATAAACAAGTGATTAAGTTGGTAAAAGAAGATGATTGAAGTCTGTGTCATTTGAATACATGTCTTGTGCCCTGTCTATTGAAGAATGAGCTGCTGTTTCAAAGTAGGGGGGAAATAACTGTAGGAGAGAGAGGGTAAAAGATAGAGAGTTGTAAGGGAATTAGAACAGCAAAAGAAGAGCAGCTGGTTAGGGAGGTTCCTCTACCTCTGGGAACTGACTTGGAGAGTTCACATGGAATCAACCTACTTAATCCAGAGAGAGGGGGAAAAGACTCCATTCCCTGTCTAACCTGTGAGAAAGAGGGAACAAAACCGTCTGTAAGTGGGTTATATGTAAAGAGCTATTATGGCAGAAAGTTATTACTGAAATTCAGAGGAGTACAGTTAGCTTGATTAGCTTAAGCTTGGAGAAGAAATAGAAAACTTTATTATTATACGTTATTATCATGTTATTATACATTAGTCATTTAACATTTTGGTTACACTTTATTTCGATAGTCCACTTTAGACATTCTATTAACAGTAAGTAACTTTGCAACTACATGTCAACTAGCAGTTAGTCGAGTATTAGTAGACTGTCTGCTTAATGTCTTCTAACACTTTCTTTGTCAACTTATTCTACTAACCCTAAACCTACCCTAACAGTCTACTCTGAGAATTAGTTGACATGTAGTTGACATGTAGTTACAAAGTTACTTATAGTTAATAGAATGTCTAAAGTGGACTATCGAAATAAAGTGTAACCCTGAATTTTTATAAGGCTTCAGTGTCACATCCTTCAGAAATCATTCTAATATGCTGATTTGATAAAGATTTTCTATTATTCTCAGTGTTGAAAACAATTGTTTTTTTATATATTTGTAAAAACCATTATTCATTAAAAAGCACCAACGTTTTTACTGTCACTTTGATCAATTTAATGCACCCTTTCTTAATAAAAAAAATATTGTTTTTTTTTTCTTTCAAACAAAAAAAATAAAAAACCGTACCCACCCCAAACTTTTGAACGGTAGTGTGTAAGCACTTAACTTTATATGTATACATTAATGTGTATATATACCTGTGCCCCATCTGTAATACACACACAAGCAAACACACTTAAAAGAGTGTTCAGTTCATAAGTTGAGTGAAATTAACTTTTCTACTGCACTGCAGTACTTTCACAGTCTGTGCAGCAGGAGTTTAGATGAACCTTTTGATATGCTTAATTAATGAAACTGGAGTGTATGAACATCTTCTCAGACTTTATCAATGCACACCGATCCATACCGAAGCCAATAGACCAGGCTTAAGATTACAGTCCAATTTCATTTAAGACAGATACAAGCAGGGTTCATCTGTGATCCAGAAACCACCAATTAGTTATCTATGTTTCACTCAGTTTCTTTGAAATCACTAATCGTTATATTTTGGCTTTGGTAGGAACATGTCCCAAAGGTCCACACCAGATTCTACACCAATGTACATCTTTACACTTATTTCGAAAGTTGCCAAAGTTTGAGTTACAAAATGTGGAGTTTGACGCTCCCTGTGCTACTGAGACCTCGGTGACGTAAAAGAAGCTCAATTTTATTTGCTCATCTCATCTCTTACTGACCTCTAATTGATTTTGCCATCCGAGCTTGGTGATGCTCCCAATATAGCCCCTGTGTGTGTCCAATATTTGATTATGCGCCGGTCTCCATGGCACCATGGCCATTTGTGTGCTAATTAATTACCAGGCTTAAGAGCTTGTAGATAATTGGTGTGTACACCACCATCAATTCCATTAAAAAGAGCAATTATCACCTACCTTATGCAAATGATTGTTTCTGAGCTCCCCCCTCTCTCATCAAATTAAAAGGAGACACTTGAGTTGTGCCGCTCTGCACTAGATCACACTTTCAATATCACATTAATAGCAAGAAAAGACGCGGAGTCTCACGGATACATGCATGACGTCTATAATGAATCTTTAGAGACCAATAAAGGGTGTGTGAAAAATCTGAGAATATCCTGGTGCGAAAAACTGTCCAAAAACTAGTTAAACCACTCAAATGAATCGTGAGGCGCAAACGTGCGCACGTTAACTATCTCTGACCTTGGGCGATACAGGTGCTGGAGCAGATCTATGGCTCTCTGTGATTGGAAAAGTAGGTCATGGAGTGCTATGGCTGGAAATATAAAAACTGAACATCTTTGCCGCATGAGACCCCAACAGGGAAATCATCGCTAAATAAATCAAGTATGTGCTGAGCCCAATAGAGCTTCACTCTCTCAGCCCAGAGAGACGCGACTGACCGTTAGCGTATAAATACACATACTTCCATCATGGCTCTTTTCACGCAGGAAGGGACCTCACAACCTATGGTGACATATTAAGGACAATGGCATATAAATCAAATGTCTTCTTTTGACCGACCTTTCCTAATTTTACTCAAGGTGAGAATGAAGGTTCTGCTGGTTCACACTGCTTAGATGAGCAAAATTGCAAAGATCATTTTCCTTTCAAAGCATTTTTTTATTACAATTGCACAAACTTCTGCTTTTTTCTGTAATTGTTATTTGTTTTTCATTCAGCTGATTTAAAGATTTTGGGGGGCATTTGGATGAACCTCACAAAGCTGTCAATAACAGATCCAGGCCATATTTCACCTCAAAATAAATCAAGGGAAGGAAACAAGAAAATGTATTTTGCTGAGCAGAAGGTTAAGACCATTTTCGATTTTTTGCTGTGTTATTATTTTTATGATCATTTAGCACTTTCCCCAGAAAAATAAATAAATAATAAATCCTGCTTACCACAATTCAACAAATTATATGATTCTCATTATTTTAATGATTAAAAAAAGATTGAGATTTAAAGATATTTAAATAGTAAAGCATCTTATATTCTTCACTTTTTGTATATTTGTTGTTTTTAATTTATTGTTGACTTTTTTATTTATTTTAAACTAGTTTATTAGAGCATTCAATCATTATTTTATTGAATTAGAATGTGATAATTGTATGTAACTGGCACAAAATAATAATACTAATTCAAATTGGTCCTTAAATAAGCTAAATTTCCCTTATGTAAAATAGCATACATATATATATGTGTGTGTGTGTATATATGTGTGTGTGTGTGTGTGTGTTTGTGGAATTTACTAGCTATTGAACATTAAAATTTTTGTTTAAACATTTATTTTACACCAAATATTCCAGTGTACCAGCTAGGCAATTGCTACTTCTGATATACCAGGTTCATTTTGCCATCTAAACATTCCTAACCAGACACAAACAATGGCAAGACATTTTGCTGCTTGCTTTTTATTCGCTCTATCTAAAGCGAATCCCACCGACTGTCATAAATATACATTAAACGACATATATATTCTGATTACCAGGCCTTCTGTCATTATGCACAGCATCAAGAGTTCAGCGTGAACAGAAAAAAATGCTGGAAACGTCATGCTGCGACTGGTTAATATGAGGTGTAAAGCGAAAAACACAGTCAAAGAAACATTGCTGAGAGGGCTTATTTTCAGCATTACACACATCTTCTAGATCTCTTAATGGACATCTACTGCATTTCTGCACAAATACGCATAATTGTGCAATTTTGCCTCTACCCATCTCTTATTTATTACAACTACGTTCACTTGTGCAAACTTCGTTCTGTGTATCGTGAGAGCATTCTATATTTACATTGTAAACTGTTATTGCAGAACATTAAATTGTTGTACACATTGAGTGGGAAGGCGTATAATGAAAACTATCATCTGTGATATTCATCTTGCTCTCTGGCTCAGCTCCTCCTCCTCTGTTAAGTTCAGAGAAGAGCAGAGACAAAGAGAGAAGGAGAGTAACTAGAGCTGCACTGCAAACATGAGCAGACTCACCGGAGTTGGGGTCCGAGTTGCCGTCCGCTTCGGTCCTCTTGTCCGGAGAGGCCTGCTCATAGAACTCGTCCTGCGCCTGCACCAGAGGGAGAGGGTGTGAGATGAGCGGCCCACTGCCCACAGGCTCATGGTCCCCCAGCCCACTGTCACTGCAGCTTTCCTGAGACCCGTCCGGCAGGTGAAACGTGACGCGCCGCTGTGACTATAAAACCAGAGAGCAGAGAGACAGAGCCACACATTAACGCCTGTCTCCTTCTTATCCAGTCAACCGCCCACTTTCAGTCAATATTGTGGATTGAGACTGAATTACAAATTTGACAGCTGGGGGATTTGTTGACTTTTATAGAAATTAATTTACTGAACAAATAGCATGTTTTGGATTTTATTTGGTCAAAATTGCCCCTCGGCACAGCAAACACAAGTCACGTTTCACTTTACGAAGCTCTCGGCACTAAAGAACATGTGACATCATGTGCACAGTGGATACAGCATAATGCGCTAATGATATGATGTTTTAATAATCGCTCAAAATGACGGTATTATGACATGCCAGCATGTGAGGTGAGACGATGAGAAGTGGCATACGATAGACAGACAGACAGACAGACAGATAGACAGATAGATAGATAGATAGATATAAAAGCATTACAAATCAAAAGTTTAAGGGTTCATAAAGCTTTCTTCAATGTTTTGAAACGAGTCTCTTTATGCTCAGCAAGCCTGCATTAATTTACTCAACAGATAAAACTATCAATATGGTAAAACAGCATTAAAATTCACAATAAAATTTACAATTCAACATTTAAACATTGACAACATTTAAAATGTACTATAAAATATATTTTAATATTGAATATATTTTTAAAAAAAAATTTTTTTTTCCTGTGATGCAAAAGCACTTAAAAAATGACATTCAATTTTACAATAAAACTTACAATTTAAAATAACTATTTTTTTTGTATTATTTTAATATATTGTGAAATTCAATTTATTCCTGTGATGCAACAATTCACAATTTAAAATGTGTTTTGTAATTAATATATTTTAAAATGTAATACTGACTATATTAAATATTGAATAGATGTTATGTCAAATAAATATGTTTAAAACATGTATTTTTCTTTTCCTGTGTTGCAAGAACATTTAAAAATGGCATTAAAGTTTACAATAAAATGTACTATTTAAAATAAGTGTGTTCTATTTTTATATATTTTAAAATGTAACATATTCATGTGATGCAACAGCATTAGAAACAGCTTTAACAATTTTACATCACAATTTACAATTTAAAATAACTTTTATTATTATTAGTATTATTATTATTATTATTATTATTATTATTATTATTATTATTATTAGTTTAATACATTGTGAAATTCAACTTATTCATGTGATGCAACACATTTATTTTAAATGTACTATTTAAAATAAGTGTTTTCTATTTGAACACATTTTAAAATGTATTTATAAATGTAAAATGTGATGCAAAGCTGAATTTTCAGCATCTTTACTCTAGTCTTCAGTGTCACATGATCCTTCTAATATGCTGATCTGCTACTCAAGAAACATTTCTTATTATCATCATCATGTTGAATGTTGAAAATTTGATAAACATAGCGTTGAAAAGAACAGCATTTAATATACATATATATATATATATATATATATATATATTATTTTATTTATTTTTTTTTTTACATTATAACAGTCTTTACTGTCACTTTTAATCAATTTATTGCATCCTTGCTGAATAATACAACAAATAATAATAATAAATAAATAAATGAATCTAATCTTACTGCCCCCAAACTTTGTAACAGTATAATGAATTGTTGTGATAGAGGTGGTATGTTCTATGTTCATTGCTCTCGAAGACGGCCGGTCAGCACAGGCTCTGCCCACAGCGCTGGTAGGCGTTGGCGGAATATCACTGCTGGGTTGGCACGGCCCGGCCAGAGCATCGCAGTTCACATGCCATGTGCTCACACTGGGCACAGAGGCTCAAAACCGTGTGAAGGTTCCGGCATCACCATCGAAACGTCTTGATGATGCAGCGTGCCTGCACCATCCTGCATCTGTGAGCTTTCCATTGCTTGCATACACAATAATTTACACACAATCTGGGAAATAATTGCACACGTAATTTTAACCAAGCACAGTTCTTGTTGCTTTTTCAAGAAAATATTTCTGCATTGCTGATCTCGGTCACTTGCTAATTTTGAGCATACTCCAAGAAATTCTAATGACATTTCGCAAAGTCCAGCACCGAGCTCTCCGCTAACCTTTCTGAGCGGGAAGTTGTCTTTTTTTGCACCATCTCTGTCGACTGTCTTAGACAACTCTGCTGTAATTATTGGCAAAAGCAAAGGTCAGCCAATCTCAGCGCTATGCAAATGACCTCATTATATAATTTGGAGCATTTCAGAAAGGAAGTGACATTCAATTAGAGGTAAAAAAAGAGGCGAACAGTAACTTCAGCATGACAGCCTGAGCTACGAACCACTTAAGCTGGACAAACCACAAACCTTCTCAGATCTCTGGGCTCAGAACCATCTCAGTCACCTTTTCACCTTTTGACCACTCGCATCACAAAGTGATCATGCAAGAAAGTATGATGATTATTGTTTATAGTAATTCATGGGGGAAATTTTCAGAATAAGTTTGTTTCAGACAGTCAGTTTACTTGGCATCATTTACTTGTGATTTAAGTTGTTGAAGTAGCAAGATATGTTGGGAAACGTAATAAAACAAATGTAAAAGTGTGAAATGAACGCAATCATAAACAAATAAACTGGGAGTTGGTGGCACAGCCTGTTTGAAGTGTTAAATTGCACTTTTATCACAGAGACGTGTCTTTTAAACTGTCTGAGCGTGCACGTACATACTGTACATATTGAGTGTAAGTTCAGTCATATGATAAACTACTGTATATCATACCAGTTCTGACTGATCCCACTACAACTTCACACACATCATTTTAGTAATAGATATGAAGGATATTACGTGCTCTATAAACCACAAGTCCTGTGTAGTATTTTTATTCATATGATATCCTTGGGTTTTGCCAAAAACCACACATAGCATTAATCTCTCATATCACAATACAATATCATCAGAGCAATATTGTGTGTAGATCAGCTTGCAGGGTGAAATACTACACCTCTAATGTATCAGCGTGATACGCAAACCACCATGAAATGAATGCACAGGTATGTGATCACACTTCAATTACAAACAGTCATAAAGCAAGACTTGATACACACACATTATATGCAGTGATAATGTATCATGGCTGCTTATGTGCTCATAATGTTTTAAATATCTAATGATGCATGAATGCATGTGTGTTAATGTAAATGTGCATGCTGCATCCAAAATTTAGTGACAAATGCCAATAAAAATCAATGGGGAAATGGAACCGAAATACTTTTTAATTAGCTGGTAACTTAAATTGTGAAACAAATAAAATACAGATTATAAATAGCAAAAAAAAACAAAAAAAAAAACATATGACTTAATAAATGTTATGCAATACATTTTCTTGATATATTTTATCTAATTGGCATATTGTTTAAATAAATCATAAATCTTAAAAAGAAAATGAATGAATGGATGAATGGATGAATGGATGGATGGATGGATGAATGAATGAATGAATACTGTGTGGTTTATGAAATTCTGTTTCTTACATAAATTGATCTTATTTTAGGATTTTTTTTTTTTTACTGGAGAGAAAAAAAAAGAATAACAAGAGGTTTATCTATGTACCTATTTCTCGTATTAAGCCACCAAATCATACATATGAGGAATAAAAATCACAATTTTGTTTTTGTGGCAATTGGACAGACTCTGGCTCATCTCGAGGGATACATTGACCTGCGCTGTTTATCACAAATATGCAAAAAAAAAATGGCTAAATAATCCTATTTTCAATGGTCCAAAAATATATTTTTAATAAAAATTATGCAAAATAAAGCTTTATGGCCAGTGAGAAATATATATGCTACATTTTCCCAATTCTCCAAAATTTAATACAGGACCCCGTGTACCTGCGCCTCACACCATGTGAAAGTCAATGTGGGCATGAATGTGTGTGTTTGTGTGTTTGCCCAGCAGTCACTCACTGCTGTATTAGCATAAGACCAGCTTAAACCTTCGCCACTGCCAATTTACACGCAATCATGGCTTATCATGCTTGTCAGCCCATATTAGCGGCGTGTTTTTATATTGCAACAGGCCAAACGCTCTGGCGACTGCACTGGTGCTAAGCAAACATAGCCGCTTTCAGCTAAGATGTTTGCCCTCGTCAGAGTACACAGAATCAGTGTCACAGAAGTTTTCTGCTCAAAGACGCACGAGTCGATCTCGCCACCCGATTCCCGCACTCGGGACTCAGGAGCCAAGAAAGAAAAGAAAGTGGATGCCTCTAAAGCACTTTTCAGAAAATGGAGACATCTTTGGCTGCGAGTAAATAGGCAATTACGACATGCATAAACAAATCTGCGAACATGCAGATCTTTAATGAATTACATTTTTTACGTTTCAGGCTTATGTCAGTTTTTCTAAGGAGGAATTTCAGGGCTTGCTTATGAGTGCTTCACATCCAGCAGAGTAGCGCTTAATGGATTTGCGTTAAGTCTGGGTTTAACCTAGCCTCCTGCTCGGCAAAAGTCATCGCCGTCTGAGAACTGTTATCGCGGTTTAGCGGCAGATCAGGTCTCTGTGTAGAGATTAGCACCAGAGTTTGCTGGAACTTTCCAGCGAATGTCATAAAACCTCAGAACATCTTCCGTAATTCTCTAGGAGGCACAACAAATCTGGCTAGAGTTAATTCGCTGCTGTATCTGTTCTTAACGTGATGATTTTAAGTCTGCATCAAGAACATTTCACATCTAGGGTCAGCATTATCTTTCCTCCATATGAACAGGGAGACTTTTGCAGCCGGATGCCACATGTCTGAGAAATAATAGACTGCTGTTTCTGTCTGGATCTCATGGGACGACTCATTGGCAAGCGCACCTCTCGCTTCCTCCATCTCTCAGTGTTTCTCCCAAGGGGTGGAGACGCTAACAACCCCCTCCATTTCCACCACGAGCAAGCGTGCTGTCTGAAAACAGCGCTCTCTTTCGCACCTGAAACCAGCCTTGCAGCAGGTCCTAACCAGGCGCGAAATTTCCAGGTGTAATTTGTACAGAACATACA